CCCCCTTTCAACATACCCTTCAGGTGGCCTCATCAGGATTGTTTCATCTAGATCACCATACAAGAACGCAGTTTTCACATCCATCTGTTCTAGTTCAAGGTCAAACTGTGCCACCATGGAAAGTAACATTTGAATGGACATGTGCTTTACAACAGGAGAGAACACATCATTAAAGTCGACACCTTCTTTCTGAGTGAAGCCCCTAGCGACCAATCTTGCCTTGTATCTCTTCGACGCCACTCCTTCGATTCCTTCCTTTAGTTTGAAAATCCATTTACAGCTGACTAACCTGGCTCTAGTAGGTTTATTGATCAATTACCAGGTGTTATTATCATGAAGAGATTTCATCTCATCATTTATTGCCTATAGTCGTTCAGCCTTATTTTGACTCCTCATAACTTCCTTATTTCTTCGTCTAGAACCTCACTTGCAGAGATTAAGGAATAAGCTATAAAATCTTTATACCCAAGTCTATGAGGTGGCTTGATGACTCTCCTCGACCTGTCTCTTGCTAGCAGGTAGTCATTATCAGTCTCCTCATCTTTGACAACATCTTCGGCTTCTTCTTCAACTTCATCTGGGATACGCAATTCAGCATCAATATGCTCCACCTCAACAAGAATCTCTCCCTGTTCCAGCTCTTCGTCAGCATCATTAGTTTTCTTGAAGGCCATTTCAGCTTTATTGAAAATTATATCTCGACTGGTGATACACCTCTTGTGACCTGGCTCTAGGCACCATAGCCTATAAGCTTTGACTCCTTCAAGGTATCCCATGAACATGCATTTCAGAGCTCTAGGTTCGACCTTGTCTTGCCTAATGTGAGCATAGGCTACACATCCAAATACTCTAAGTCTGTCGAGGCTAGGTGGATGTTTTGACCTGACTTCTTCATGTGTCTTCATATCTAACATAATCGAAGGACATTTGTTTATCAGATATATTGTTGTCGAAACAACCTCAGCCCAAAACACCCTCTTTAACCCAGCACTAGTAAACATACATCTAACTCTTTCCAAAATAGTTCAATTGGACCTTTCTGCCAAACCATTTTGTTGTGGAGTACCTGCAGTAGTTTTGTGCCTTACAATACTGAAGGCAGCACAAAAATTGTCAAACGCCTCATTGCAAAATTCAAGGCCATTGTCAATTCTCAACCTCTTTACCTTCCTGCTAGTCTGATTTTCGCCAGAATCTGCCAATCTTTGATATTCTCAAAAGTTCCATCCTTAGTATTCTGGACGAATACCCATAACTTTCTAGAATAATCATCGATTATGGATAGAAAATACCTTCACCAACCATCGAAGGTTTATACTCCTTTCTTTCGTTCAAGTCCTTAGAATACAAGGCTCATCGAACTTCTTTAAACCTCAGGGACTCCTTTCCATACGGGAGAGTTCCTTTGAAGTGAGCATGTGTTCTGGGTAAAGCGCACAACAACAATAGTGCTTGATCTTTATCATCGATCTTCACATCAATATTTTCAAGATCAAGAATTAGCTTGTTGAACATATCCAACTGCTCAGCCAGCACTTTATCTTCACTCATCTTGAATGAATACAAAGCTTGCTTCAGGTAGAGTCGATTCACCTAAGATTTGGTCATGTACAAACTTTCAAGTTTCAACCATAACCCCGATGTCGTAGTCTTCTTTGGTACTTGTCGAAGAACCTTATCACCAAGACTCAACAATATTGTGAAGTGGGTTTTTTCTATCATGGCCGTATTTTCTATTTCCGTTAACACAACGTCCATGGTTGCCATTCCCTTCAATGATTCAAAACAACCTTGCAGAACCAGTAAGGTTTTCATCTTCAAGCGCCACAGACTGAAATCGTTCACTCTGATGAACTTTTCAATCTCATACTTTGTTGAAGGCATATTCCTCCACGCTCACCGGACCAATTTGTTGTAAAAAACTATTTCTTTAAACAAGGTATAAACGATTCCTTTTTGATCAAGAAACACACAAGGGTTAGGGTTAACTGAAAAATAAGAAGAAGAAGAACAAGAATTTGCTATAACTGCTATTCTTTACTTTCTCTTTAAAAAAATTACAAGTACTCAAGAATAACAAATAACTCTCTCACCCTAATTAGGATTTGTCACATTTAAGATGAGAGACTAGTATACTACTTATAATAAACCTAACATACTAAACTAATGGTTTTTTTTTAACAATTACCCATTACAAGCTAACTTAAACAGTTGGATCCTCAACACAAGGCCCAATTCGATAACTACATACTATAACACATTTCGACTACAGCATGGGTCTTCGACAATAGCATGTGAGCAGACTTCGACGATATGCTAAACTAGAGTTCGATCTAATGTCTCACAATACACACCCATAACTTTAAGGTGATAAGTGTGTGGATTTTACCACTTATAAATGCTCAAGTCTTAACATTTTAAACAAAAGTGGGACTTTCCCACACTACACACACTAGTTTTCTCAACAGATATTAGTTGTAGTTTTTGACCAAAAACACATACTTTTCAAATCCAACTTAAAAACAAACACTCACTAAATGTCCAATTTTGACACCCCGTATAACATATGTCAAATAATTCAAAGAAATGTCTTATAAATTATATTTCTCTTTTACTTCGAGACACTTTAGACAGTTCTCAAACACAACACATACTCATAAGTAAATATTGATTTTTCTATAAATTAAAAAAAAAAAAAAGAAAAATATTTTAAAGTAATATAATATTCTAAATAAATGTTTAAATTTTTGCTTGCATACGCACGTCTTTTCTAGTGTAATATAAATATACTCATCTTGTATATTATCAAATGATTCATCTTGTAAATTTGATGAAGGTGTAATATTTGTGTTCCATTATTGAACCAGAATGTCCCAATGAAGGTGTAATATTAATTTTTCGTTATTGAGTCAGAATGTTTGTGATCTTAGTGCGACGAACCAAGTTTCGATGCGAGGAAGAGAGAGTTGGCCTTCAAAGTTAACACTTCAATGTCTAAGTAAGTTAGTGAATAAGAAGTAATGTGAGAGTGAGAATGAATTTGAATATCTGAAACGACACATCTTTCCATTTATGCAACAAGAGAGGTTAGAATCTTTGGCATGATGTGAGTGCATTGTGAGGATAGTTGTTGGATCTAATTATACGGTGGCAGATGTGTCTTGAGGACATAGTTGCTTGTTCTCGGATGAATGAGGGTTTACTTGCTTTATGTGCTTTACTGCTTGGTAGTGCTCTTGGACTTTTCATTTTGGATCTTACGAACTGCCCATAACAGTTGTCCCAAAAATCGTCCCTTCTTCGTAGGAGAGTGTTAACAGTAGGCCGACTGCTTGGCTAGAGTAGAAGAAAAACCTTGATGAGACGTCACTATTATTGGGAATAAGCGCATTAAATATCTTTCTTGCAATAGGTAACATTTTGTAGGGAGTCTTTGACGCATGTCCCTACGCTGGTGAATAATGATGATTCCTTTAACTCAAGGTTCATCTGTGATTCTTATCGTGTGATGTATGAGATGTAGAGGCAATCAATCCATCTATTTTAAGGTTAAATGTGTATCTTTTTTCTTGTTTTTACTTCCTCATCTATTAGAATTTCTAGACAGTAAGTTTTTGGTATCTTTGATGCTTGAGTTTTTGTTATTATAATGTTTGATCTGAGTGTCACTTCTTCACGCTTGCCTTTCCTATGTTGATAATATTCTTTATAATGAAAATTTCACCTACATGCTGTCAGTTTCACTCTCACACATAAACATTATAACGAGAGCAAGTATTGTATTTATAATTGTCCCGATCAATTTCATGTCTGCGTCACTGCGCTTACGAGGTATTTTTCTTTTTGAATATGAAAAACGCTCACGACTTTGTCCTTTAGAAAAAGGCGACTTGTTGAGTTGAGGTGTATGAGTGTTGTATATAAAATACGCTTTGCTTTGATTCCCAAGCAATACAGTACTATTTTGGTCATCCTAGAACTATTGCCTCCTCAATCGAAGCTAAGGAACACAATGCGAATCTAGAGTACCTACAACAGGGGCCACAATTCCGTTATAGATCCAAAACGTTTTATGAACAGTGAAAGAAGATCTTTGTGCGGCGGAGCAAGTACCGATGCGACAAAGAGGAGGATGACCGACAAGATTATTACTTTAACGCTCAAGAAAGTGAGAGAATAAAAAGGAATGTGAGAGTGTAAAAGAATTTAAATATTTAAAATGTTACGTCTTTTATTTTATTTTTTAAAGACAAATAACGTTCATGCGAGGTGAAACACATTGTACAAATAGCCGTTAAATTTAATTAGACGATGATAAATATATCTAAAAGATAAAATTGTCTGTGTTTTTTAATGAACGGAGACTTTATCTTTCTACACATTTTACTTCTTCATTTTGGACATTACTAACCGCCCAAAACAATTATCATATTTGCCATATTCAACATTTTCCATATCAAGTGTCTCTATATATTCAACATTCTTATAGAAATTCGTATTTCATATGTTTTCAGAAAATACTTCAACAACACATTGAAGATTTATAATTAAAAAAGAACCATTATTTGGATTGATAAAAGATATATCTGAACAAGAAAAAAAAGAGGTTTAGATTCACGTGTCCGATCACATGAACCTCTATAAAAGTTAATCTATCATATCTCACATGATCAGCATCTTCCTGGTTTCAACCTATCTAGTAAATTAAACCACAGTGTGAAAAAGTACTATGCATTTTCTTTCCTTCGCATTCTTTTTATTTAATGCTGAAAATATATAAATTGTTAACCATATCATTAACTTTAACACCGATGATTAATTAAATAACCATCCTTTTCTCTTTTTAGACTATGATATTTAATAGCAACACAAGTTATGGTTAACCACGTGCAAAAGACACGCCCCATCTTTTTTTCATATAAATCTCATCCAAGTATCCAAAACTCTTCAAAATCACAACTACTTTTCTGCATAATCTTAAAAAGCTTTCTCAATTTACAATGAAGATCACTAGAACCAGAATTTTTGCTGTTGTGTTTACTTTGGTTCTGATTCACTTTCTTCTATTCTCTTGTTGTTGTCACCACCATGATCAAAGGTTTTCAAGAAAGATAGGTTTACAAGGTTCAAGGGAGCTTCTGTCTTCATCTTTTGCAACAAGTTTTGGTAAAATAAATGGAAGCAAAAACCTGAACAGGAAAGTTGTGGAATCAAGCTTGAGGATAGCTCCACCAAGCATCCCGAATCCTACTCAGAACAAGTAGAGATCTCAGCCAAGAAGAACTCTTTGTGATTTGATCTTGTCTGTTTTCTTAGCTTTTTTCTTATAGAGTATATATGCTATCTAGATTTTGGTCTCTTCTTTGCTACTCTTATCATTGTATGTTTCATGGTTTTAATTTGTGGTTGCGATTTGCGGTTCTGATGCGGATGCGGAGGGGTAAAACTTATGAGCTGTGGTTGCATTCGCCAGATTGCAATTTAAAACCATTATGTTTGGTTTAGAGAGATGTTGATGGAAGAAATGTAGATAAGAACTAGAATTCAAAATAAAAAAATAGTGTATTCAAGGTTTTTGCTTTGCAAAAGGCAGAGATTAATTATATTACATAGGCCTTGATGTCAATTTTGCATTAGATATCAAGAAAATGGTTGTAGTTCAATTTTAGTGTTTTTGAAGATTGGTTATTGCTTCTTCATTCCATTTTAAAAGTGAAATCAAATTGGGTTTCGTTAATAATTAGAGTTTAATCTACGTCATTTTTACAAAATCGATTTTATAGAGTAAGAATTGCTCTCACTTATAAAATATATTCGAGTCATATATTATCCGATTTAAGACTCCTAAAAAATATTTTTACTCAAGAAAATAAAATATTAAATAAACCATCATTTTTGTGTTTGAATATGACAAGTATAGTGATTGAACTGAATATATTTAAATTATAATAAACATCATTGATTGTATCTTTTTAGTAAGTTTGATTATCAAATCTGTTATTGGTTAGTTTTTTTTTATCCTAAATTATTTCTTTGTTATGTTAGTCAACAAAGGTTAGAAAATCATTAGGAAATGATATACTCAGGATTGCTTTTGTAATTTCAGTATATGTAGATAATATAGTGATATTTCTTCACTTTAAGGATCAACATAATGATATACTCTAAAAAATTGTAGTATAAATTGGACAATAGCTTAATTCCATCCACATGTAATCTCTTATGAGAATTGTAGTATTTTGAGAGCTCCTCTCACACAAAGCTTTTGCAACAAAATTATTTTGTGATTTAAGATGATGTTTGGCCATGGTGTTTTAAGTGAGTGTTTTTGGATTTTGAGTGGTGTCAAAATTATGATAATGTAGCGTTATGTATATTGAATGGTATCATTCCATTCAAGATGTGCATCTTAGTGTTAGAAATCATTCAAGTAAGTTGGAAAAGAAACTTGCATCAAAATTGCATTGAAAAACATGTTTTTGGATGGTCAAATATTTTTAGGCCAACACATGCATAAACAGACCGACCTATAACATTTCAGACCGACTCCCATGGAGCAGTATTGAAGCCTGTAGCTTCTGTCCACAAGTCACCTTGCAAAGACTGACTTGTACGCAACACAAAACCTCCATAGGCCGACCTGATTGCATTGATAGGTTGACTTATACAATTTCCCAACTTAAAATTTTCTTTCTTGCTCTAACTTATTGCATTCTTTTTGTTCATTTTTCAACACATACCTATATATACTCACACATGCACCTTAATCTAGCAAGGTACTAGTGAATTACCATACGAAACTAGATTACAAAGCATTCTCATCATCTTCAATCTCTCTTCTATACATAATTGAACTACACATAATCATTTTTCGATTGGGTAACCATCTATATCATGGTTACTAACGTCTAATTAGGTTGGTGTAACCAAGAATATTGAGTTGGGATCTTTATGTATTTCAAATAAGAAAACCAAGGCGGTGTTTTCCTTCAAGATCAATGTGATTTGAAGGTTTTGGACAAGATCACGTCAACACTAATTCAACCGAGTGAAGGACTTGGGACAAGGTGGTTTCCTTGCAAGGGAGTAGCGCGAGACGGTGAATCGTGTTCGGGAATCTTGGATTCAACAAGTGTGTGCTCAGAATAATCAGATGATTGTAGTCGCTTTTTTGGTGACTTGATCAAGAGTTTGGAGGTGGTTGAATCAACAACAAACCATAGGATTTGTGGGGTTAGAATTTTTCACCTCTTCTATAAACATTTTTTCAAAGATAAGGTTAATTGCAAGTATCTCAATTCGATTTCAGATTGAGGGCAAACATACTCATAGCGAGTCCGATTGGGGAACTGCATAAACAAATCTTTGTGTCTCTTTATCGCTTTATTTTTCTTTAACTATTTTTTTTTCAAATTATCAATTTCGTTGTTGTTTCGATTAATTCAATTGGAAATTATTTTCAACTATCTTTTAAAGTGTTATTCTTGATATAGTCATAATCACTTTGGTTGTGATTGGCTTTTTACATCAACAAAATAAATTGAATTTCCAAACGTGATCAATCGCACACAAAGTGTTCGATAAATCATCTGAGTATTTTTATCGCTTTGTGTTCATTGGAAATAAGCATTACGAATAACGTTGCCTTTGATTGATCTGTGAATTAATTGTTGATTGAACAATTTGTGTTCATTATCATTCCATCGGTTTCATTACGCTTATCCGAGCTTTTTGATAGTAGGTCCGGTTAGACGATTCAATTTGGGGTTTTTCCGTTGTGCCATACTTTTTGAAAACAAATTTTTGACAACAATTTTTGGTTTTAAATTTGTGATCTATTCACCCCCTATAGATCGAATCGTATTGTCTAACATTTTAGGAATGAACATCTAAACTTTTAGAGTCTATATACCTTAAAGAAAAGGAAATGGTACATGGTTTGTCCAAAATTGGATTATATGTAGATATTTGCAAGAATTGCTTGATTGACAAGAAAACAAAGAAATATTGTCTTAGATTTTAATAAGAGCTCAAAATAAACTTGATGTGTTATATAGTGATATTCGTGATCCCTTTGACATCACATCATTGGGAAGGAATACATAACTTGTTTTCTTTATGGATGAGTTCATTAGAATACGCAAGTCTATCCGATTAAAGTGATGGTAGAAATACAATCACGGAGGAAACTAAAAAATCTCTAGAGTAATGAAGATGGTGAATAACTTGAAGAGCGTTGAAACCTTATGTGAAAAGATATGAATTCAGCATGAAATCATACAACCATACTTTCCTTAATATAATGGTTTCGCTAAAAGGAGGAACATGACCATATGCACACTAAAAGAAAAGAAATTTCCACATGCTTTTTGGGTTGAAACCATCACAAATTCATGTCATGTGCTCAACAGGATTCCATTTAAGAGATTAGACACAGTTTCATAGAAAATATGATCAGGTCATACTCCATCCGTCAAGCAGTTGAGGATCTTTGGCTTTTTATGTTTCATATACAATTCCAATCTAAGGAAGGAAGAAGCTTGAAGATAAGAGTGAAATAGTGATTCCTCCAGGCTATCACAATACATGTACTTATAAGTTTTAAACCATGTCACCTTTAAGGATTGTTGCAAGCAGGGGTGTTATAATCAATTAGTAGACTGTTAAAATTGGTTGAGTCAAGATGTAAAAGCATATTAAAGTATGTCATTTGTAATCCATGATGACTATAGTAAGCGCCATATACATGAAATATGTATTGTATAAGCAGAGTAAGAAAAAAGATTCTTAAAGACTAGATTCCTAACTAGAAATCTCCAAATATATGATGTAAATTCAAATCAGTTGACTATACCATATGGAGGCTTTGTGAACTTATGCCTATTTTTTGATGTTAAGCCTTTCAACTATGCAAAAGAAGTTAAATCATCTGTGTGGATTACTTTTATGTAGAATGAAATTAAGGTAATAGAAAAAATAAAATATGAAATCTAGTTTCCTTATAAACACACAAAATACTTATTGTAGTCAAATAAGTCTACAAAGCAAATCACCTTTTAGACAATTTTATTGTCAAACGTAAGACAATGCTTATTGCAAATTAATTCTTACAAAATCCTAGTCTTGACTTCACAACTTTTTTTAAACTAGTTGCAAGAATTAAAGAAACATTGTTATTGGTAGTTGTGGTAATTTTTTGTAATAGAATTTTGTTAAGTTAGATGTCAAGTCTGCATTTTTCAATGGCTTCCTTAAGAAGGGAGTTTATTTTAAACAACCTTAGAGATTCATTATGAAAGCATGAGAAGATGAGGTCTTGAAGCTTAATAAGACTCTATATAGCTTAAAATAAGTTCCAAGAGCCTAAAATAATACGATAGATGAGTTACTAAATAAGAATGACTCTTCCAATTGTATAATTATTGAACATGAAATCTATGTGAAAGGAATGAATCAAGAAAATATCAACATAATATGTCTACATGTGAATGATCTACTCATCACATAAAACAAACAAAATGAGATTTAGAATCTCAAATTCAACATGAGCATTGAATTTAATATTATAACTGAGTTAAGAGGCCTACGTTATTATGGAATAATGTGAATAGTAGTAATACACACAAAATTAACTTCACTTTCTCTATTTCTAAAATGTATTTTACTTAAAATTTTGAGACGCATGTCATTTTTTTTCAAAGTATAGTAAAAACTTACCATAAAAATAACTTTTGTTTGTATTTTCTCTAGTCGCTCGAAACATAGTTATGGGCCTTCACTATCTTCACCCGTGCAACCTAATAGTCACATGAACTAATATCTTTTCGAGAACCTAAATTATTGCGATTCTTGGCTTACATGTTTGGCTAGTGAAAGATGCATGGTATTCAATGATGCTATGGTCAAAGTGAGTCATAAGAACAGATAGAAAAGTAAGTAGTGCACGTTTGGTTGTTGGATAGTGAGTTGTTTGAACATACAACATCTAGCCATATTAGTACAACCCCACGTACACTTTTTAGGTATAAAGTCTTGCCTTTACAGCTAAAAGGATTGAAAACTCTTGGAGGTGATGTGAAACATTACTTGGTTGGATACGTAGAAAATGAGGTTGGTCTGGCCCAAGAGTAAGTTTGCTTGATTAGCATTAATAACAATGTTTCTTTTGCAAATCATTGTCCTAGTTATTGTTTTAAAGTTGTTTTGCTTATAGAGTGGAGACAGGCCAAGAGGAAATCTATGTTTAACCTAATAAAAATATTAA